TGTCCTAAGCAGCACATTTCTGCATAGTATCGTGTGTTACTTTTCTGTTGATCAGTGACAGCGCGCATTGCTGAGGAAACTGGTGCGGCGATGAGGACCCAGTTCTCAGGCGAGATGCGGCGGGAGGGTCAAAGGCGCAATCTGTGCGCATCTGTGCGCGCTGATGCGCGCTGCGTGACATTGTGCTGTATCGTTCTATATCGTTCTCCTGGGAATTATAGCATGTACAACCCACCCCCACGAGCGGAGTTGTTCTTCCACCAGCGCAGCAGAGCATAACGACCTATCCACAGAACTATGCACCAAGGAGGCGTACACATGTATCATGATAATTATGTGTGACAACTGTGTCTATGTGGTTAATTTGATCTGAAGTTGCCGATGATGGTGATGATGATGACGACGGTGATGACGGTCATGATGTTGATGATGATGATGGTGTAAGGTTAATCAATGATGGTATATGATAATGATGATGATGATGATGACGCTGATGATATAATGATTCTTCGTGATACGCCATGCCACTGACTTATCAAGCTGGTTAGATTGACATGGCGAGGATGGGGCGGTGAACATTGGCTAACATGGCTCGGGGTGGCGCGGCGTTGCTCAGCAGGTTTTGTTTGCCATGTGCTGGCACGTGACATATTGTGACATTTACATCCAGCAGGGGGGGGGGCAGGGCGTGTAAACCATTTTACATACCTGACCATGCTTACATGGCGCAGCTGTTGCCTCGCAACTTCACGTGACTTCGCACGCGCAGTTCTTTTTGCGTGCGTGGACTTGCGGGCGAGCGCACGGAACGTGTTTCAAATCTTGCATATTTTGTACATGTCACCTGTCCCAGCTAACACTTATGCAATCTTTTGCATACTGCAAATCCAAAACCCGTGTCACTTTGTCCCAGCGCGCAGCAGGCGCGTAGCCAGCGCGCAGATAGCGCGAAGCAAGCACGCATCCAGCGCGCAACAAACGCGCGACAAGCTAAGTTCGTGGTAAGCGCGCAGAGCAGCGAACGCGGAGCAGCTGAGTATCGAGCGCGTTGAGAACACGTAGGGAGCGCGCACGGAGCGCGCAGTGAGCGCCCGACGACCGCGCAGCGAGCGCGCAGTGCGCACGCAGCGAGCGCGTAGCGAGCGCGCGACGAGCGCGCGACGAGCGCGCAACGAGCGCGCAGCGAGCGCGCAGCGAGCGCGCAACGAGCGCGCAATGAGCGCGCAGGGAGCGCACATGTGGGAGCGCTCAATGAGCGATATCGTGTGGTACTGTAGTGATTCACCAATAAAAGTCAGTATGAAAACCAGGGAAAACCAGCACTCGAAGCAGACCTCAGCATTATACTGTTGCATACTTCAAATTGAAACACGTGTCGCTTTGCGCCGCGAAAGCGTAAAGCCCCAGCGCGCGCGCAGCCAGCGCGCAGATAGCGCGAAGCCAGCACGCATCCAGCGCGTAACGAGCGCGGATGAGCGCGGCAAGCTAAGTCCGTGGCGAGCGCAAAGGACAGCGAGCGCGCAGAGCAGCGAACGCGGAGCAGCTGCATATCCAGCGCGTTGAGAACACGCAGCGAGCGCGCGCCGAGCGCGCGCAGCGAGCGCGCGACGAGCGCGCAGCGAACGCGTAGTCGCAGTGAGCGCGCAGCGAGCGCGCACCGAGCGTGCGACGACCGCGTAGGGAGCGCACATGTGGGAGCGATAAATGAGCGATACCGTGTGACACTGGAGTGACTCACCAATTAATGTAAGTTAGTATAACATGTGTAGCGTCATCAGAGACCTCAGCATTATACTTTTGCATGTTGCAATTCGAAACACGTGTCGCTTTGCGCCGCGAAAGCGTAAAGCCCCAGCGCGCGGCAGGCGCGCAGCCAGCGCGCAAATAGCGCGAAGCAAGCACGCGTCCGGCGCGTAACGAGCGCGCGGCAAGCTAAGTTCGTGGCGAGCGCGAAGAGCCGCGAGCGCGCAGAGCAGCGAACGCGGAGCAGCTGCATATCCAGCGCGTTGAGAACACGCAGCGAGCGCGCACCGAGCGCGCAAGGAGCGCGCAGTGAGCGCGCGACGAGCGCGCAGCGAGCGCGCAGTCGCAGTGAGCGCGCAGCGAGCGCGCGACGAGCGCGCAGGGAGCGGACATGTGGGAGCGTTCAATGAGCGATACCGTATGACACTGTAGTGACTTACCAATAGTAGCATGATCAGAGACCTCGGCATTATCCTTTTGCATACTCCAATTCAAAACTCGTGTCGCTTTGCGCCGCGAAAGCGTAAAGCCCCAGCAGGCGCGCAGCCAGCGCGCAGATAGCGCGAAGCAAGCACGCATCCAGCGCGTAACCAGCGCGCGGCAAGCTAAGTCCGAGCGCGAAGGGCAGCAAGCGCGCAGAGCAGCGAACGAGGAGCAGCTGCATATCCAGCGCGTTGAGAACACGCGGCGAGCGCGCGCCGAGCGCGCGCAGCGAGCGCGCGACGAGCGCGCAGCGAACGCGTAGTCGCAGTGAGCGCGCAGCGAGCGCGCACCGAGCGTGCGACGACCGCGTAGGGAGCGCATATGTGGGAGCGTTACATGAGCGATACCGTGTGACACTGGAGTGATTCACCTATTAATGTATGTTAGTATAACATGTGTAGCATGATCAGAGACCTCAGCATTATGCTTTTGCATATTGCAATTCGAAACACGTGTCGCTTTGCGCCGCGAAAGCGTAAAGCCCCAGCGCGCGGCAGGCGCGCAGCCAGCGCGCAGATAGCGCGAAGCAAGCACGCGTCCGGCGCGTAACGAGCGCGCGGCAAGCTAAGTTCGTGGCGAGCGCGAAGGGCCGCGAGCGCGCAGAGCAGCGAACGCGGAGCAGCTGCATTTACAGCGCGTTGAGAATACGCCGCGAGCGCGCACCGAGCGCGCAGGGAGCGCGCAGTGAGCGCGCTCGTTACCAATAGTAGCATGATGAGAGACCTCGGCATTATCCTTTTGCATACTCCCATTCAAAACTCGTGTCGCTTTGCGCCGCGAAAGCGTAAAGCCCCAGCGCGCGGCAGGCGCGCAGCCAGCGCGCAGATAGCGCGAAGCAAGCACGCATCCAGCGCGTAACCAGCGCGCGGCAAGCTAAGTCCGAGCGCGAAGGGCAGCGAGCGCGCAGAGCAGCGAACGCGGAGCAGCTGCATATTCAGCGCGTTGAGAACACGCGGCGAGCGCGCACTGAGCGCGCAGCTGTTCCGAGGGGTCCCAAGGATGTGAAAAAGAAAGCAGCGGCCAGCGCCGTGTGAAGCCCAGGCCGGAGAAGCAACAGTGCCAGAAGCAACGATAAGCAACGGTGCAGGCAGGCCTTTTTTTTGGTGCTGTTGCTGGCTTTCGTGGGTGTTTGAAAAAGTTTCGAACGCAATAACATAGCAGGTTATTTGTTGCCAGTCAACAACTTATTCATGTTATTGCATGTTATTGAGCCCTTGAAGAGCCCCACAGTTGCCAGATGTTGCAGGTTTCCCATGCCATTTCTCTGTTTGTCGCAGCATCTTGCTTTGCCACTTCCTGCCACATCTTTCCACATTAGCCTGAGGCGAGGAAAAGGTGCCAGGAGAGGCGTCCACTCTGGAGGCCCGGTGGTCGCTTTGTGACGTTGTTTGCGTTCGTGGGTCAAGCATGCCTTTGGCATCTTACGTCGTTTGAAGCCTCATCCTATCTCATCATTCAGATTGGCGAATGGTTCAGGGAAGCACCAAGAAGCCAATCTTTAAAGAAGGACCCAACCTTCCCTCCCCCCTTGGTGCAAAACATTTCTTTGGGACGGGTGTGACGATATGAGCCTTTGGTGGACATCATTCTGGATTCATGTCCCTTTGCGGTGGTTCCAACTTTGTAGAGATTCATCGCCAAATTGGAAGTCCCTTTTTAGTTGCTCTCTATGACACATACCCATTTGTGCCATGGTCAAAACACCCTTTTACTAGGGTGTACTAGGGGACGTTTTGCACACGCTTTCACACTCGCGGCGTGCGCCCAGCAGGACGTAGCAGGACCTTGGCGCCAGAAGCTGCTTCGGAGAACTGAGCGTGAGCTGACAAAAAGGTCTGCCGGGCCTCCGGCTGTGGATGCAGAGAAGCTGCCAGTGAGAGCTCGGGGGGTGTAGCCCTCCCCTCAAATTCACCACTTCTGGGTTTAAGCAACCTTTGGGTGGTCAAAAATGGAATCCGGTCCCTTTTTGATGCACAAAAGGAGATTCCTTGAACATCTCTAAGAGTTGATGCCCCATTCTCTTCACCCATTCGTTTAAGCCACCGATTTTCCCAGTGGCCCATTCTTGGAATCCCTGAAGCATGGCGCTGTGGGTTATGGTCACAGTTTCCCCCAGGAAATCTTATATTGGTTGTCTAAATTCCTCAGGGTCCGTTCTTGCTGCCTTGAGGTTTGCTGGACCTTCCAAGGGTCCCCCCCCCCCGCCAGAAATTGAAATATTTCAATTAGACCCCCCCTCCCCTGTCAACGGCAGGGATAGTAGGGAGGGGCCGCAAGAATGACCCCCTTTCTGCGCCATGCCTCGTTACCCACCTCGTCACGTAGCCGTTGCACACCTCGTTGCAGACCCAGTCCCAGCCCAGGCCAGCGACCTCCTTGTTGCTGTCGCGCGGCTTGTGTTGAGGAGTTAAAAGTTCCAAGCTGCAGCTGCGGAGGTGCGCTTCGCGTACTGCACTTGCGCTGAATAGTTGCGACTTTCGAGCTGGAGCTCCACATTGCGCTGCTGATACTTGTCAAGCGCTGTTCACCTCCGCAATAGGGGCTCGTCACACCCCCCGCAACAAGATTCGTGCCGCGTCGCACGTTACATACCCTCAAGCAGCATTGCCGTATGTGTAATGATGCGTGAAACAAAAAATGTTCTTTAGTTGGGGGGGCAAAAGCTGAGGAAGATTTATATGGACCGGAATCAAGCATGTTAGCTGAGGTAGCAGGTAGGGCTTGGGTAGCAGGTAGGGTTTGAGTGACTTCTTGTTTGTGCTTGTGGGCCCCAGGCGTCGCACAGTTTGCACGGCATCCATCACCTGCATCTCGGCAGCGAAAAGCCAAGCCACGCTGTGCGCTAGGAGATTGAGCGCTTACGGGTGGTTTCCGCATCAAGAAATTCTTTCAAATTCGCAAGCAACCAACGCGAACCCGAATCCTCGGATTGTAGGTGGTCAGAATCCCACTTGCGCAGTGGCTCCCACCTTTTTTTTTGTGAGTTCCCCACTTGAAATGGTCGACCCTAGGGTTTCCGTTTCTGCCAGAGTCACTGCGCAACTGGAGTTTGGCTGCGGTTCTGACACTCCATATGAACTTTTACAGAGTGAGAGACACCACCATACTACAAAACCGATTGCTTAAAGCCTGAAATCGCGTTTGTCTCGGAACTTGGCCGGTGTTTTCCATGGCCGGCTGCATGCTGAAAACGTGGCGATTTAGCAAGGGTTCGAAAAATGAAGGCTCACGGGCCAGTTGCAAGCTTGAATGGCCAGTCAAGTCGAAATGTGGTCGGTCCCCGACTGGAATGAAGGGACCAAAAGACCCCATCCGTGGCCAGGAACTCTTCCTTCCGACTGGAAGTCTCAAGGGCTTGCTGACATTCCAACTTTGAGAATCTTTGCTACGCCAACAAAGACCGACTTGGGGTGGAAGGGGGCCAAATGGGCGGTTGGAGCAATAGTGGAGCAGCTGGCAGGTGTTGTCCAATAGGCCTGGACTAAGACCAGCCAGGCTTGCTTTACAGCTTAAGAGAGAGGGAGGGCTGGCTGGTGATGGGACTTGAGGCGAATGTTTCAGGCTCGAATTTAATCGGGCGTCGTGAGACATGTGCGCCAAGGCCAGGAGGCACAGCGGCGCATGACCGGCTTCTGCGCTGCGCGGGCCTCGGAAAAGAAGAGGTCAGAAGGCTCAAAATGGTTCAAAACGGCTGAAGCAATTGTACATCTTAAGGTTCACGAAATATGGCCCATCAACACCTGATTATCGGGAGGCAAAAACGGACCTGTTTGCCTATGGCGCATCCAGGTCCTCAGGACCCACAGGTGCTGTTTTAGTAGGCTCCAGCTTGTACAGGGAGATCATGTTTGTAGCATCCGATTTCGGGACCCATTCGAGGGACGTTGCTTTTGGCCCGCAATGGGCATCATTGAACATAGGAGGCTTCGCGGAAGCTTAGTGGTTTGATAATATGCGCAGGAAACGATGCAGCCGAAGGATTTCGCGGAAGCTCCACGGAAGGGTGGCTATGTGTCTGCAGCCAAGTGCTCACGTAGCACCGGTAGCCAATGGAGCCCAAGCCTACATACCTGGCACCAACACTGTGGAACATGACTTTTCTCACTTGCTCAAGCAGCTTGCCTTTCTTTCCATACACGTGGAAGCAACACTTGAGAACACGTGTAAAACATACGCCGCGGAAGGGTGCGGAAGCAATTCATGAAAAGCATCTACGGCAACTCGGGAGGAACTCAGCTGCATCCTTCCAGGGTACGGCCCTTCCACCCTTAGGGTTACCTCAAGACGCATGCGCATCAAACAGTTGTTTGATGGTATCTACAGAGGAATGAAGCACGCACGCAGGATACTGCCATTCATGTCTGCCAATGGCAGGGTTCAAGAGCCCCGAAGGGTCTGGAACCAACACCCTCGCGAGAATCCCAGGCACGCGCAAATTTGCAGCACATGCAATTTGTGTTGCACGTTGACGTCTCAAGAAGTCCTCACCCAGAAGGACTTTTGAGCCCTGCAGCTTACGCCCCTCGTTTTCTGTTACGAGCCGCAACCACCCCTCCCCTGCATCCTCTCAGAACACAAACACAAATCTCATGAACCCCGATGCCGTTGAGCCCCCTTCGGTCACCCAACTCTGTGGGTAGGTGAACCCTTCTGTTGCCACTTGGCGGGCCAAAGAGAGTTTTTCAGCGGAGCCGGCGCTTCATTGCCTGGAAATGTCATGGCCCGTTTGGCAGATTGTTTGGATGTGCGACGGCATTCGTCGGAGCTTTGTGCCCAGTCTTAAGGCTTCCGGAAGCCGTGTGCAACGTATGTTGGTTGCTTGTCATATGTGTTTGAAGCCACGTGTCCCAATGATAACATGCAAAACAACGAACCACCCCAGTGGTTAGTTCTGGTGTCAGGTTGCCAAAACAAGTGGCAGGAGCTGGGCCTCATTCGCGCATGTGCTGAGGCGCCTCGGACAAGGAAACGTGCCTGGGCTGCAAGCGGCATTTGCACGCATTTGAGATGCACAGGGTTGGGCAATTTGTGTGACAGCCATCCTTGACTTACGGAATCTTAGGGAACCAAGAGAAACTATTTAAGCAATAGTGGTTTCCACATGCAGCGTCATAGGGAAAGTAGTCGTTTTCAGTCTTGGGGCCCCTTCCCTTTCCCTGATGGTGGATTTAGAGATGCTCTGCATCTCTGAAGACGTCCGGGGCGCCCGAGTTGTTGTGCTGCAGCAGCAGGGACTCGGACGCCAATCTCAGGATGGTCAATTTTGAGGAATCGTTTGCATGGATGGATGGACGGATGGATGGATGGATGGATGGATGGATGGATGGATGGGTGGCCAACGCTTGGAGCTGTTTGGACCCATTTGGTCTACACCATTCGATGGTTTCCCAAAGTCAGACACTTGCACCATCCCACCGGCTCCAGTTGCTTCAGGTTGCACCCATTGCTCGAGAGCAGCGAGTTCTACTCCTTCCCACGTGGGGGGCTCAGGGTGGTGGGTCTCAGACGGGACTTCAGGGAAGAGCAGTAGAATCGAGACTTACGCACAGGGTGTACTGATTCCCCCGAAGGTTTTTTTTCAGGTTACCTTGTGGTGCAAAATGGAAAGCTATGCGCCTGAAGCAATTGCTTGGTGGCCTGGTGGCCTTCTTCGAACGCCAATCCAGAGCTTACTGTGAGAAGTGCAAGTGGGTTGTCAGTCACTTCACTGGAATCGGCACATAGCATTTAAATGTCTTCACCAATGACCTACTTGCAAGTGGCCCAGAAGCCTTGAAGCAGATTTGTCTTGAGCAGCCAGCCAGCCGGCAAGCAAGCAAGCAAGCAAGCAAATACATATATGTACATATGTAACCTTCCACACAGCCTCAAATACATGATGGAAGGATCATTTCGCAACAGCCCCATAAATGTTCGAAATGGATAAACTTTGACGAATGCCCTTCTGCATAAACACCCCCCTCAATATGCGGGACAGAGTGCGGGACAAAGTGCCGGACAAAGTGCGGGACAAACTGCTGGACAAACAACTGTCCGGCAAGTTGTCCGGGGGGTTGTCCGGAGGGTTGTCCGGAGGGTTGTCCGCGCACTTTGCCGAGATTTATGCTGCAAACCCCCCCTCCCGCGAGAATACTTCCCTCCGAGTGGTTTCCGAGTGGTTTTGAGCGGGTTCCGAGTGGTTTCCGAGTGGTTTCCGAGCGGTTTCCGAGTGGTTTCAGTGGTTTCCGAGTGGTTTCCGAGTGGTTTTGGCGTGTTCCAAACCTGTCCGAAGACTTGTCCGGGGGTTTGTCCCGGGTTCTTGGGCCCTCAAACCTGTCCGCAGGGTTGTCCGGGGGTTTGTCCGGGGGTTTGTCCCGGGCTTTTGGGCCCTCAAAGCTGTCCGGGGGTTTGTCCGGGGGTTTGTCCCGGGCTTTTGGGCCCTCAAAGCTGTCCGGAGGGTTGTCCGGGGGTTTGTCCGGGGAGTTGCCCCGCCGGCCCTCAAAGCTGTCCGGAGGGTTGTCCGGGGGTTTGTCCGGGGTTTTGAGCCCGTTTGGACCCAAAATGAAAACAGGTGTTTATGCAGAACCGCCTCTGTCAAGATAAACTGTTCAATGGTCCACTTCTGCCAGCATACAAAGCTTTTGAGTCATTTGAGTAACATTGCTCGCTGGCCCAGCCGCAACAACTATTTGACAAAGAAACTGATGCTTGCTTCGTGTGAGTGTTTTTTGAGGGTACCCTTTTCGTGCTTGTTTTTTTTTATGGAAAACCTTTTGAAACCAGCCGTTTGTTGGTCCTTCATCCTCATCGCAACGCTGCTTCAAGTGTTCTGCTTCAATGTTAAGTCCGACATGTAGTTCTCATTTCCCGACGCTGTGTCAGTTATTCCTGTTAATCAAGCCGAGTTGCTCAGTGGCAAACATTGTTCCCGCTGTTTTTCGTGGATTGGCACAAAGGAAATCCTTGGTCTTATGGTCTTTGTTCGCTTCAAAGCTCCGAACGGTCCAGGCGGCGCATGTAGCTTTTGACGCCAACTGAACCACTGAGACAGACTAGTGAGAAGCTCAGCATAGACATTCAACCTTAGTAAAGCACAAGACATTGGGGATATCTGGGGTGCTTGAAGCTTATTGAGTCTTTATACGGGCTTATCCTGGTCATTTGGACAATGCTCTATTAAGACCTTGTTAATCCGTGATAGGGTCGGGATAAACCAATATTAAAGCCTTAATAAGGAGTCACCTTTCTTTCCCTCATGGATAAGACCCACCCACCCGCCCGCCCGCCCGCCCGCCCACCCACCCACCCGAGATATACAGCCCCACATACCCCTCTTGGAAAACTAAAGGGAAGAGAGGGCAGATGAGGGCAGCCCCACTGTGTTTGTCATCAAAACAACAGCACTGTGTTTTGTGCTTCACATAACGAAAACACGCATATCCGAGAGCACTGGTTTCTCCTAACAGAGTCAGTGTTTGCTAGTCATTTGTTCTCTTCTCCGTTTGCTAGAAATCTACACTATCCAAAGACTTGCAGTGATTCCCGAGCAATCCTCTAGTATTCACCCTAAGTATTCCCCCAGTAGCAACCTATCCCCTCGGTATTCCCCTAGTATTCCTTTAGTTTTGCTTGGTGCGCCCTCTAGTATTTCGTCAGTGTTCCCTAGTATTCCCTTAATATTCGCCAGGTGTTCCCTCAGCGTTCCCCTAGTATTTTCCTAGTGGTTACCTGAAGTGTTGCCTTAGTATTCTAGTATTCTGCTTGTATTCCCTTAGTGTCATGTTGGCATACCCTTGACTATTTCCTCAGCGTTCCCCTCCCTGTATATTCCCCAAGTAGTCCCTAATTTTGAAGTAGTGTTCCTTTAGTATTTTCTTGGTATTGCCCTAGTATTTGCTCAGTATTACCCTAATATTCCCTCAATATTTCCCTAGTACGTCCTTAGTAATTCCCTAGTATTCTCCCAGCATTCACCCTTAGTATCCCCCTAGTATTCCCTAGTATGCCCTGAATATCCCCCAAGTATTCCCTGAGTACTCGCGCAGTATTTTCCAAGTTGTTCTTGGCTTCCACGAGTTTTTGGTCAATGGACAGCAAGAAGGTTCTCACACTGCGGGAATGCGTTGGCTGCTTTGTGTGATTTGCAAAGTGTCCGAACCGTGAAAGAATGAGATAAAACTGGAATTTGCAAAAAACTAGTGCTGTTAGCGACTCCATATTTTGATACAAACCCATTTGTACCTTGTGTTCCCACTGCCAGGATATGTTCCTATATTTTCAGCCCCTGTGTTCTCAACTTGTTCCGCTGGGTTTCCAACCCACGGGTTTCCCACCGGGTGTTGGTTTCCCCTGGTTTCCCATGGTTTCCCACTGGGTGTCTGTCTTGTCTTCGCCATGGATTTGTGCATGGTTTCTCATGGTTTCGCCATAGGTTCTTACATAGCTTTTTTAGGTTTCCCATGGTTTCCAATGGTTTCCCACCGGGTGTTTGTCTTGGATTCGCCACGGGTTGTTGCATGCTTTCTAGGTTTCCCCTGGTTTCCCATGGTTTCCCACTGGGTGTCTGTCTTGTCTTCGCCATGGATTTGTGCATGGTTTCTCATGGTTTCGCCATAGGTTTTTACATAGTTTCGATAGGTGTCCCATGGTTCCAATGGTTTCCCACCGGGTGTTTGTCTTGGATTCGCCACGGGTGTTGGCGGTTCCAGAGGTTTCGCCATAGCTCAAGCCATAGCTCAAGCCATGGGTATCCCAGGTTCGAAACGGTTCCCGGGCACCAAAGCCAACGGGGAGCTGGACCAAGAGGAGGCGGCTTTACGTCGGAATTGCTCGAGTTCGGCTCCAACGAAACAGCGGGGGGGGGGGGGGAACGCCAGCTGGAGGGCGGTTAGGATTTTTTGGTACAGGTTTCTTAAATCTCGGGTTATAGGTTTATCTTGGTTCTTCAAGCCAGCCAAATAGGCGTGGGAAGGGTTGAAATGGACACGCAAGAAAGCCACAAAGCAGTTTTGGGGCTTGGGTTGGGAGCAGGAATTGATGCGGTTCTCTCAGGACTTTCTTGCTATGGGCTTGCCGTTGCCCAAGGTGGACTTTTATTCATGAAACCCCTCATGAGAGCCACTTGGGTTGCTGCAGTAGATGTGATTTCGCAGTTCTTGTTAGATGGTTGGTACATGGTTTGTATGCTGTAGTTTCCAAGGCGGTTATTTGGATTTCTAACTGAGCTGCCAGCTGAAAATTGCAGCCTGAGCCAGCTAGATTTGAGGGCGACAGCCTGGGCATTAATGCGTGCTATATTGTGCCAGGCTCAAACTGCTTGGACATAGGTTACCTGCCTTGCCACTTGGTCCGTATCCTCACAACCAGAAACATCAATGATAAGCTTGAATCGCTTGCTTAGCCGCTGACTGCCCTGGCACTGCGTCCCACGGTTCTTAGCTTAGATGGACATGTGCACTCCAGCGACAGGCATTCTGTAACTGCCGTAGTCCAGGAATCGTGAGACGATCGGACAAGAATAAATGTGCAACCCGCAAATTGACCACGTGTTCTACTCTGTTGATGGCAATGCCTGCGCCCAACCAACAAAAACACACCTGCCAGATAGTTTGATCAAACTGTCCAGAGCTAGCTTTGATATAGGCAACAGAAGTGCTGTCAAACTCATCTTTCCTTTTTGGACCTTGGACCGGCAACGACGGGGTCCAAACAGAGCCCCTACCTTTGACCCAGGTGCAGAAGCGGGCAGTGCCAGGGTGTGGCGCCCAGTTTGACCAGCACTGGCCTCTTTTTTAAGAGTTCTCCACCACAAGCATAGGTGTCCTGTTTGGTTGGTTTGCTTGAAACATGGGCCCTGGTTTACCTGGTGGTTCAATTATCTACCAGGGCCATCTATTCTACAACAAGGACGCCTATGAACACAAGTGTTTGGGGACAGCAGCGAATCTTCAGACTTGTCACCAGAGCCGGAGCTCGAAGGAAATTTCAAGGGAACCTCAGGATTTCTTGGACGATCTTGTCGCTGTTGGCCCCTTTTGGAGAGAGGTGATGTCTCCAAATGTTTCGGAAACCATCTCCGGATGGATTCAGAAGTCCTCCCTCTGCGAATTAATCCGCTGCATTCCTGGTGTCTGAAAGAACAGCTGCGGGTAAATGTGCAGAACATTGTCCAAGAGCCCAATACTTTGGCAAATGTCCTGTTCGTTTCGGAGTAGCCCGTTGATTCTGAGTATTCGAGGTTCACATGACTTGGATGCCGATCTTACCGGTGACGTTTGCTTGGACCCCTTTGGCATGGTTGCAGCCCTTTGGCATGTTTGCATTAGTCAAGCTGCGACAAGTTTGACCCGTTTGCCGACCAAAAAGCAAAACTATGGAACAAGTGTTGGCACAGCTGCAAGAGCTCAGTTGTGGAGTTTCCTTACTGACAAGTCGGACTCTGTAACAAGACAGCCATTGCTGCTTGCATGCTGGGGAGCATGCAGTCAGTTATGGTGCCACACAGTGCAAGTGCCTTCAAGATACTGCAAGCATCAACCTTCTGACGAGGGATGGCACAGCTTCCATTGCTACCCGAGGCCAGGTGCTTACATGAAGTCGGTGCCTGGTGGCACCGTCCGGCTTCTCAGATGGGAGGACATTGTCCAAGGCAATTGGACATGCTGTTTGAGGATGCACGCCGGGACTCACAAATTGCAAGTCGCATTGGTTGTAGCACCGAAAGCCAGCTTGGCGCAGAGGCTCAAGGCAAGCAGAAGTTGAGAGGCTAATTTGCTGAGGCAACCTGGTAACGTAGAGCCATGATTCAAGACAAATCGTGGTTAGACCGTGGTAGACCCCCACCGCAACACTTCAGCGCTGCTGAAAATGAAGCCCTTTTCCGCCACAGGCGTTCTCCACCGACGGAGGGGAGACAGCCGGAGGGCCCAGACCACGTGCCAATTATTTGGTTCGAGACCGTTCTTGTAATCAAAAACATAGGTGCGCTGCGTTTGTGCCCTTGTCCTTTCATGTCAGGCCTTTGTGATTCTGCGCTTGGGGACGCCTGATTTCAGGTCGGCGAATCACACACGCGAGCTCAGATTGGTATATCAGGTGCATTTGTTCCTCACGCGCGCAAACGGGCACAGCCTGCCAAGCTGATTGAGATGATTGTGTGTCTTGTTCTCGCGTATTGTGCAAGCGTTTTGTTCGACTCTGCCCGAAATCTAGGTTGGCAAGGATGGATTTCTGTTTGACCTCGGTTCATTTAACTTGCTACTGAATCAGCAGAACGGTAAGTGTGGTCCTGCGCTGGACGACGTGCACTTACTGGTCCATCGGCCGACATCCGTGACGCGACAGTTCCCACGCCCGTGAAAACGTTTGTACCGGGTGTGCCACCAACAAGTGCAGCAAGCGCGGTTAAGACTTGCCAAAGACAGCCCATGCAGCTGCTTTGGGTGGGGCAGAGTTCAAGTTCGTTCCAGAAATGTTCATACATCAACGTTTGGAGTTCGCCGGGCATCGTAGCGATTCAAGCAGACAGGTGTGCGCAAAAACTGGTTCCTCACATGTGATCTCCAAATAGGCGACCGCTCCAGCTCTTTCATTTGCCCTGCGCCGCCTCAGGAGAACGCCAGTCACTCAAGCTTTCAGGCCCTAGAGACGTAGCATTGTGTCTTTCTTTCGCTTGTGTAATCAAGGCCTTTGTTCTACGCTGTTGAAGTGCAACTCGAGATACCTGAACTCATCTTCCTGCCAGACATGCTTGAAGGCACAAGAGCAAGCGAAGTAAACCTGGATAGAAGGCGCCCGAATGCAAAACAGCCCTGGGAAATTGCATTTCGTCAACTCAAGTCCAGCTTTGAGCGACGCTTCTGAGCTTCTGACTGACCATTCAACGGAACAAGGGCTTGAGCGACACTTCTGAGCAAACACTTGAGCGACTGCTGAACACACTTACAAGCGAAACACGCTGTCGCGACACAGCTGGCAAGCGGGCACCCTCCCTCACCTGCGTTTTTCCCACCATTCATTTGCAGTCCTTTCCCTGAATCCCCTTTAGTTCCCGTGATTTCAACCGCACTTTCCTATGCACGTTTTCCGATTTTCCATCCATGTTCCATCCATTGTCCAACCCATTTTCCATCCATGTTACGTCCTTATTCCATCCATTTTCCATTCATTTTCCACCCATTCCACCATTCCACATATTAATTTTACATCAGTGAATTTCCAATCCATGTTCCATTCATGTTCATCAATTGTGCGTCAATCGTCCATCCATTTTCCAGTTTGCTCACATGTTCTGTTTTCCACCCGTCTTCCATCTCCCATCCATTTTCCAGTCCATTTACCCATTCCCGCCCGTTTTGTCCTTCATTTCCATTTCCCGGCGTGGACAACATGCCCTCCATCACCTGCATCATCCGCATAATGATTTCGAATTACGCTCTCAAGCAACAATTATCCTGAAGCCATACCTCTGAGCGACACATTTGAGCAGTTGTAAGCGACACATCTGAGCAATCTGAGCGACAATCCGAGCGAGATTTCTACACATATCTCTGGCACTTTTGAGCGACACTCCAGAGCAACACTTCTGAGCGACACGCGAGACTTCTGAGCGACACTTCTGCGCCACACTTCTGAGCCACACCCCTACACACATCAGCGACATTGCTGGGCGACACTTCTATTCTATTATCCACACACATCAGCGACACTTCTGAGTGACACTCCTTCTGATCGACGTTTCTGACCGACACTTCTGAACGACACTTCTGAGCAACACTTCTACACACGCCTCAGCGACACGTCTGGGCGACACTTCTGTTGCACACACACACACACATCAGCGACACGTCTGGGCGACACTCCTGACCGACGTTTCTGACCGACAGACACTTCCGATTCTGATCGACAACTCAGATCGACACTTCTGAGCGACACTTCTGACAAACACTTCCGAGCAACACTTCTGATCGACACTTCTGATCGACACTTCTGAGGCAACGAACATTGCACGAAATGCCCCAAAGTGCTACGCCTGCCACAAAATCAATACGAAGCACTCTAAAGTGCTGCGCCTGTCACGCAAAGTAAGCTTGCCACAAACTCAAAATCCTGCTTTGTACTGCGCACGACACGATTACGACACGCATCCAGCGTTTGTACGGGACTGTGGCGCCAGAAAATTCGACCGACCTTGACAAATTTCAAGCTCACCAGAACGAGCCTCGCCTGCCAAGCAAGACACCTCAAAACGACCAGCCTGAAAGCGCACATCACAATGGCACAACAATGCAAACACGCGACCTTCCAAAACACTGCGCCTGCGCATTCAAACAACATGCGACGCAGCGAAATACACGATTCGCACACAGGCGCATTCAGGAACTAATTGCAAGATTCAAGGCGCATTAAAACGTCGGGTTTCGCAGCAATCCCAACGCAATTGTTTCCACACGCGGACGCTTGCGGCCGCTTGCGGCCACACACGAGCGCACCAGCGAACACAACAGTACCCCCAGACCCCAGCCCACTTAATATCGGGAACCCTTCGCTACGCATTCAGGAAAATACCACATTGCTTTGTATGTGTCTGAGCCGAAAGCCAAATCATCTTGTAGCTTCTGCGAGAAGCAGAAAAGAACTTCAAACACATCACATTGCTTTGCACTTGAGGCGTGCGTATTGTAAGGTGAAAATGCTTGTGCGCTTGCAAGAGACTGAAAAGATATCACGACCCTCGAAGCTGGCAACCCATTGTTCCAACCAGTGTCCACTAGCTTTGACATCTTCGTACACTCGATCCCAAGGACTGGACAGAAGGCAGCAGTTGTCCGTTGCAAGAGCGGCGTCTGCCCTGCGCAACCTATGCTAGTAAATGCTGCAGTGTTTGCATGAAAAGGTGTAAGCTGTAAGCACATTTGCTTTGCGCGTTGCTGACGCCTCCGTGCCTTGGCGGTGTATGAAGCAACTCAGTTTTTGAACGCATCGAGTCTGCATTTGCATTTGCCTCCGGTTGTGAGTGCACACAAGCCTAGGCCCAAGGTTTTGCGCTGCCTGATCAAGTCAAAGAGGGGCGCTCGCCACTCACAAGTTGTGCAACGCACTGGAGCATACTCCATACAAGTTCACTGCCATGCTCCGCAGCAATTGCATCCACAACCTGTTGTGCCTCCTTCCTGGTTTTGCCCCATATCTCATATCTTTGAGCCGATCTGCACCTGCACGCAAACTGGTTTGGTTGAGATTGGAGTACACCTGCTTGTCCAAAAACTGTCTGACAGACGTGCTATGACTAGCACATGCCGCCCACAGAGCACGAAAGCCTTGCGGCGGTCCGTCACAGAAACACACGGCCCGGCCGCTCGCCTTCGAGCTCCATGTGCAATCTCTGAAGAAAAAACGAATCGGAGGTCCCTGATAGTTTGCAAGAGCTCTCCACACATGAAGGAAAATTATCCAGTTGCATTCGCATATTTCGAAACCAAGGTGTTAGTGCCACCATTTGTGTTCCCGGTGTCTTCCTCCTGGTTCTGAAGACACACACATCATGCTGGAAAATTGCGTGGCTGCAAGGTAAGGTTTCTATGCCCATGCCTAAATGCCTGGCCCGAGTCTGAATTGCGCCTGAAACCATGCAGATCAAGATTCCTTTGTCCGTGTCACTGAGCTCTAGCGAAAGATGTCTGCTGGCATCAAAACCAACTCCATTTGCAACCCCATGCAAGTCTTGGCAGCGCCCTGTATGCCCAATGCTAACACAGTCACACAAAACTGCCAAATGCATTGCAAATCCTCATGAGTGGATGCATCAAAGCGCGCCAGTCTCGCGCTCATGACTGCCTTGTAGTCCACATTCTCTAACCGGTCTACTGTGTGCCCTGAGAACACCGCGACAACTTCCATAGTGGTCCAGGGAACCTTTGCGAGCTTCCCAAACACTGCTTCTCAGATCGGCTGCAATGGATTGAAAACGATGGCACTAAAAAACTTCGAGACCGCGTAATTAGCACGTGGCAACTCTCACAAGCAAGGGTTTCTCAAGTCGTGCACACCGGCATCTAAAGTGCCACTTAATAAATCACCATGACACATGCAATGCAGTTGCAGGTGTTGGGCCTGTTTCGCGCAGAAGGATGATCTATCCCAAACTTTGGGTGTTGACGATATTTTGTTAGACACTTAAGAACAGATACCCCTACAACCCTGCTAAATGCAAGTAGATGCCCCATATGCTGGTTACTGAACTGTGCACTCTCCCACCCGACCCCCATCCAGTTTGAGGTGGTGCTCGGTGCGAACCATACCTATCCATGGAAGAAGGCCCTTGGCCGGCAGCCCGGACCTCGGGCGAGATGCGACTGCGGCTCGGGATGGGAAGCAGAAGGGAGATGGGTCATTTGCCAATATGTCAATGGGACAGAGAGCGCTCAGTATTCAAGATCCTCAAGGACGGGAAGCGGTTCCCGTCCCAGTGTACATGAAGGCTCTTGAGCGGCAGTCCTGCATGGTGGCACTTGTCCTGTTTGGTCAGGTTTCAATGCAAACCAAAAGGAAACCAGCCATTTGTGGGGGTCCAACAAAAAAGAGACGCCCACTTCTCAATCAGAGGTGCGCAGAGGAAAGACTGGTTTGCATGTGCACCTTTGACATTGACCACTTCTCACTTCACAGCCTCGACCGTTGCAGTGTAACTTGGTGCTGCCTTCCGATGAGTCGGGAGTCGGGACGCAAAGAGAAGGGGAGATCCGGATCGCCATTTCGTCAACTTGGTGATCAGGGTCGATGGACGCCTGTACGAGTTTTGTCAGGGTGCCCTAGCCCTCACGTTCCACCCAAGGCAGCAGCGGCAATATGGCATATTTGCCTGGGTCGGAAGCTTCATGATTATTCACTGGGTATCGGCTCTCAGAGGCAGGTGTCCGGGACTAGTTCCACTCTGAAACGTGCGCAGTCTCCGTGTCTCTTCCGTTCTTTCTGCTTTGGTGGGTCAACAGTTTAGGGTTTCGGTTTGGTTTAGAGTCAACAGTTTAGAGTTCAGGTCTTGGCTTAGAGTTTCGGTGTTGGTTTAGTTGGTGTTTTCGATTTTGAGTTGTGGTTAGTAATGGCTCTAATTTGGGGTCCGTTTAGGGCGATGATTTTGGGTTTAGGGCCAACAGTTTAGGTTTCTTAGATTTTGTTTTCGGGCCAAATGTTTACTGTTGAGGTCTTGGTTTGGGGTCAACAGTTGAGGGCGTATGGTGGTTAGCATCCAGGTGTTCGCTTGTCAAGAGATTCGGGTTTTAGGTTCTGGTCGGTTTAGGCTTCAGGTGTTGGTTTAGGGTCGCCCATGGCACAAACCTCCCCTTCTGCCCAGGATTAATCCCATTGAAGCGGACGCGACCACTCTGAGCTCAGCCCCGTGCGGGATCACGGAGAGCTTTTAGCACCGACGGGGGGAGGGGGAGTTTACGAAACCGAGCTCACTGACTCATTTCCCGCATATTTGTTTGTTTAATCGTTTCCATTTTGTGCATAGCCATTTAGCCAAGATCAGGGCGGGCATTTGTTTGGCGCTCCTTACGTGCATGTTGGACCCTTGTTATCAGAATCCTTATGAAGGTACCAACGATCATGCCTAACGGCCTAGCGGCTCAAATCATAGCCATACCTGGGAATCCGAGCGGCGAGCTTGCCCGAACATCGAACCTGACAGATGGGAATGCGGGGCCTCCAAATGATTCATCGTGCTTCCCTTTTCGAAGTGTGGCAGGGTCAGGAGGGGCTCGAGGCAATCATGGCTACGGTGCAAAACATTAGCCCTTGTTGACTGCGAGCAACGCGCCGAGCCATTGCCAAAAAACAATGTAACAATACATACATGTGTGTATATATACCTAGATCTTCTTTGAGAACAATTTCCCAACATTTTCCTTAAAAAGCAAAAAAAACGCGCATTGTTGGAAAACACGCTCATTTACCCAAAAAACACACATTTCGGTTCGACCAGCCATGTTCAAAACAAGTTGGTTTTGGGCTTTCCGCCGATTTCCGCGCATTTTCCGCCGATTTCCGCGCATTTTCCGCCGATTTCCGCGCATTTTCCGCCGATTTCCGCGCATTTCTGGTGGCCAAATTTGCAGGATTTGCCACAAAATGGGTGCGGAACATGAAATTTGCAGTTTCCGCGTAGATTTCGGAAATTCCGCTCAATTGGCAAAATGAGCAAAAATAACGTAATGAGCAAAAAAATGTTCCTTTTTGAGGGTCCAGGTATATATATAATATACATATTGATGCTACTTGTAGCTGGCCGCAAAAATGTTATGCCCGGGTCAGCAGTTGAGCTGTCCAACTGTTCATCTCATCCTTGGGTTGAACATGGCACCAAAGGCTGCAAGAGGTGAGTCCAAGCTTTAAATTTGGTCCGGTTTACTTTCCTCAGGCTGTGTGCTGCCACGCAAAAGGTTCAAGGGTGAGAACTTGTCACGTTTCGAATCATGTACTTTGCGCAGTCCTGCACCCAGCAACGAAAACTTATGATATTCGTTTTGGGTATATTGTAGCAACCTCCCCACAAACTGAAGCGTACCAAGTGCGTTTGTTCAGATTCCCAGGTGTGCGGCTACCGTAAGTTGCACCTTCAACGAATCTGCAGAATACAGGCTCCGCCTGTAAGGAAATCATCCATAAAGCGACATTGTGTCCATGTAGCTGACATTAGCTCAAGTGGGTTAATCACACTCATGTCCATGAACCAAACAACTTCCTTCCGATTGAGTTGGCAACCTTTGAACTTCTTGCGGGTTGGCGCCTTCAAGGCCAAACAAAGCGCTTTTGCTGGCCAGCGGACTCAGCAAGTCAGCTTCTCCCCCAAAAAAGAATCAACAAGAAGCATGCAGCCCTGGGTCTCATCTCCGTAGGGAGTCCCCAAAAAGGAGTTGCACCCTCGAGTCAGGGTATGGGTCAAACTAAAACCACCAGAAAACCGCAGGCTTTAGTCTTTGGTTCCAAAATGTTCCAAGGAAACCAGGGCAAGCCATTTTGGGGTTACCCGATTTTTGAGCCACCTCCTTTGAGTCACAAGTCGCGGGGCGCTTCGAGCTCGAGGTGCTACACCTTCTCGAAGACCCGCAAAACGGTGTCAGACACCACTGCGGGCCATGGGTTGCAGGAGTCCGGATGGCTGGATGGCTGGATGGCTGGAGGGGGTGCGAGGACATATGACCCCGGCCTAGAAATGATTGGTTTGTTGCTGGTGTGTATTTGAAGCCAACCCCCCAAAAAGCAGAACGGCACACCCAGTTGAGGTTTTTGATGAAATGGGCTTGAGAAGTGTGCGGTTCTTGAGTTGCTTCTCGTTGAAATCGCAGATGACATAAGTCGTAAATATGGTCCT